ACGCAGCCAGGCACGCTTGGACTTTGTGGCCTCAGAAGCCAACACTGCAGACGTTCACCAAGGCTTTGGCGCCTGGTGATCACCACAGGTTCTGTGTGCAGCTAGGGCTTGTTGAGGTAGGTCCTCGGTTGTTGTAGCCTTGTTGTTTGCTCTGCTTGTGTTGCTTTTATATATCCTCGTGAACTCATGAACTGGCCTTGTGGCCTCCTGTTTGTGCTCGGAGTGTGTGGTGACTCTGAGCGCCACCCTGAGCCTTGTTTTGTTGCTTGCTCTTGACTGGTCTTGTGACCGTTGTTTCCCTTACTAGTTCTTAGATGCACCTCACTAAGCCTATGGGGGTGTGTCAAATAATGTTTATATGCATTGTTAGGCTTCTAGGCTACAGTGAGTTGCCCTTAGAGGGTACAACAATTCATAGGTTACTCGTTGTATCTCTCTCACTTCCAACCATGACACAATCCTCTCGACATTGCTTCCTAGGCTACTTTAAAGCCCAGCCCCCGAATTACAAAGATGGCTTCACAAATTGAAGCCAGCTTGTGTCTCACTCCTACTGGTTTATGGAAATAAAGGTTTAGGCTAGGTTTTCGAACCTCAAATCTCTGCTTTCCCAAACCTGTTTTCCCGCGTTGACTTCCGTTGAGTGATTCGGGTGTTGCCCTTTAAGAGCGACTGCCCCGTCAGTAGTACCAACACTGTTCCGAACTCAGCGGAGTGGTCAAGCGAGTCAAGACTTGCTACGGCCAGGAGTGAAGGGGGGTGTTACGAATAGTAAATTAAGAAACAATGTGCACTCCTATCAGTAGCAAGCGAAGAATGCGAAGACGAGTACGAAGACAAAAGGTCGGAATGAAGCGAAGAGTACAGTTGGCACCACCTGGACCGTCAGAGCAGGAGCATCAGGCAGCGGCAAGAGCAAGGATTCGGGCAGGAACAGGTTTGTAACCGCCTGGAGTCGCACGGTTATGTTTCGCTGCAATAAAGGAATGTACCCCTTGAGTACATGGCTAGCTAGGACGTTTGGTTTTCCTTTTGTGGTACTATATAATCTCATTTATGCCATTGTTTTAATAATCTCAGTCATTTTATATTCACTCTGACCTGAGGTCAACACTTCCGCTGCAACACACTCAGTGCGAACCTTTCTGAGGTGATCCTAGGCACGATCAACCTTCTGATCACAACAATTTATTGGGGGTATAATTTGTTATTGGTAATAGTGTGCTGTGCTCATGCAATACATTTTTGTAACGGACCATCTGATAAAGTATTTCCCATGTCGATATTGCAAAGTGTCATTCTCGAAACTACGCCTTATACAACAGGCAAAAACATATATCGATTCTCTTGCATTAAAATTGTACAATGAGTATATTTTGTGTGCATTCAGTACTATGTACTTTTTTGACTCACGGTTGCATCACCACAACTGCACTGTACTAACAGACTCGAAAGAGTCAAAAGCCAGAGCGGTTCGACCGAACCTCGAGTGGCTTCGCTCCAAGATTGGCCAATTACTCAGCAGCAAGTCAGCCGTTCATGGCTTGACAGCCCCGCAGCACAGCAGATGTAATGAACAGTTCAAGAATGCCGAGCTTGTACAGAGCTTGAGGCGGCTCGAATTTCCACAGAATCAACAAGACCTACAACAATCCACCATGTCGATCTGTACAAAGAAAGGTCCTCCAATCACATCAATGATGCCATTTCGTGCCCCTTCACCATGCGTGCCATTGGTCCCTGGAGCTGCAAGCGACGAACTAGTGCGCCTCGTCTCAAATGCTGCGAAAGTGCAAGTTGTCAAGGAATCCGTTCATGCGCAATGTGCCGCTTTTCTTCTCGCAACTCGTTGGATTCGCCTAATTGTCGCAATGGCACACTGTACACCCTGTTTCGCTCCACACTGACATTCGCTGTATTGACATGCCGCTTATTCTGACATCAACGCGTCCAAAACGGTCCCAGAACATAGCATATAAGCACAATTTGCCGCAATAAACCGTACGCGATAGCATTGTTTCTTTCATAAACCGTTGTGTATCGTTCTCCTGGACCGCCACCTACCTGGGGTTTGGTTGTAAGCACCAGCCCGCAAAATCCAAGCACACGTTCGCACTGTAGCCGGGGCTCCCGATTTTCCGAACGTTGAGAAATAGGGTGTACCAGACTTTTCGCAATCGCACTTCGGAACTTGTACAGTATTCGCATGCTACAGTCCGAAGGTGTTGTGGTGGAGCACAATTTCAATCAAGATTAGGGAATTCAAAAATACTCAGCCCGATTTCAGCAAAGTATTTATTATTGAAAACCCACCTGGTTTCTGAGGGAGACACACAACAAAATTCGGTCCCGCAGTTCGTGGTGTCATCGGGTCACTGATTGAAAATACAGACCGCAAGGCACTTAAATGGGTACTTAATTTGAAAGGCATACTTAGGCATGGCATCAGAACAACACATATACCCCCAGCCGTACCGCAGTATGTGGGTGGTGTGCACATACAGTACGTCTGCGAGTTGAGGAAATTCTACCTGTGCTCGAGAGGGTGAGACGAAGCAATGGTGGAAGAGTAGGACAAGTTACAGTTTACAGGCCACCAAAATCAAAGCACTGGCAAATAATTAAACGTACTGTACAGCTGCACCCTGTCAACCGCACTTTCCCATATCGTGTCCTGCGCTGGAAGTGGAACTGGGCGGGTAACCTCAAACGAAAGAAACCAAAAGGGTGGACTCGTTACCAAAAAGAGCCGACTGTTTGGATGGATCCCCGCGATAGCGGTTTTGCGTTCTGGAATACACGTGATGCCTCTTTCACTTTCTTCTCATCTTACATGTTTGCTCCTCTCTTGCACGTGTAGAAGTTACCGGACCATTGGGCCTGAACATACACCACCGCAACTACAGTTCTTGATTTTCGGGTAGGGCAACGTGTTTTGTGTAGTTTAATCGGCTAAATTATTAGCGGTCAAGAGAGTTAGTGTTTTTAGTGGGCTTGTAAACCTTGGCCCGCTCCTGTGATCGTCAACTGATGGTCCTATTGACTGCCTACTAACAAAATGTATGGAGGCAGTTTAGTGTGCATCATGTGTACCGCACAGTTCCTGGCCCACATTGATGGCTTTGGTTCCTCAGTTCCTCGTACAGTGCCTCGTACAGTGCAAGAGTAGTTCCCCTTAAAAAAAGAGAGGTTGACGTAAAGACTCGAGTGTCAGTCGAGCTCACTGAGTACGAAACACAGAGTTTTGGGATTTTGAAAGGGATGTATAGAAAGTTTCGTGAACCCTGCAACGATTGGGTGACGATACACAGTTAATTTCTGCCCAGAGTTTCACGCGGTGAATTCAGACGGAAGTCGGTCATGTCAGGATGGAATGGGATGGCATGGGATGGATGGATGGAAAAGTTGCCATGCCACTCGGCACGGCATTCCTTCTTGCACACGTCCCTCCTACCATGCCATGCTGCTTCTCCAACCTCTCCCCCTTGTCCTCTACTCTGCTCTGCTACACACAACACATTGCTCTCATTCTCCTTCGGGTGTTGCGCTCAGCGATCTCAATCTCCGTCGTCACATTGCCTACATTCTCGAGGACGACGCGCGAGCCATTGCCGTTGAGTAGTGCGTTTTGCCGCATTTCCAGCTGATGACTTACAGCGCAGGAAATGAGGTGAAGGACTGGACGAGACGAGTTGCCTCCTGACGATGATCATTGCCCTTACTTGATCTTCTGATTTCTAAGCGCATTGGACAAGCAACCACGTTCTTACTGGGGTTCACTCTATTGCTCTTCCCCGAGACTCCTACGAGCAGTTCAGGAACAGTCGCGGACACGCGTTGCCTGCCACCCACGAATCCGCCCTCCTCTGCTCCCCACGAGAATGCATCTAGCGAACCAGGGATTTAGTGCGTCGTCCTGACCTCCGCCGGCTTCGCTGCCCTCGCCGCCGTCAGGCCGTCTGTTCGCCTTTAACTCGCGATCCGGCATTCAGCAGAAGATAGGATCGGATCGCTGTTCCTTCAGCACAAACCGCGGTTGCTCGATTCGGAGTATCAGGAACGGCCAGGCGTGCCAGCACGTCAAATTAGTGCCCTTTGCCGGCAAACGCGCCTGATCTGGCGCTGATACTTCTCTCGGGATTGCAATCGAAACCCTTTCGCGAAGTCTTGCGACAGCAACGAAGTGATCATGGCGCGAACAAGAACGAGAACGGGACTCGTCGCTCAATGTAGAGACTCGGCGACCGGCGTCGCTGCGCATGGGCAGTGAGGGGCCGTCGCGTGCTGGTAGGCGAAGCTGACCTCCCCATATCATACTGGACCTTCACGGGCTTTCCGCTTCTGCCATTTGACGGGCTAATCTAGCTCGTTTTCAGTCGGTTTTTGAAGCAGCCCGGGAGCGAAGTCGCAAGTTGTCGCCCATCGCCCGTCGCCCGTCATCCGTCGTGTGTCTTCCGTCGCCCGTCGCTCGTCGCGGAACCCTGGTCCGACTCGTCTGATCCGAGGATGCAACGATCGTCGATTATGGGCGTCTAGTTGCCGCATGCCGTGTAACAGCGTCGGCGCAGCGACGTATTTATTCCAGAATCCGGGGTTTTATCTCCGGGACTAGGGGCCAGAACTTCAGTGTCGGCAGTCAAGCTCACGTCTAGTATTATAAGGTCTGAGGCGTCTCGAACTTCGAGGACTCTGTAGTACTCTGTAGACTGAGGAAGTACCTGTAGTAGGATCCGGGAGATTGACCGTTACCGCGGGGCGAGTTTCGAGTGACGCGGGGAACGAGCGCGTACCGCATATCCTGCTGCGCGGTCACCGTGTGTTGTGCGGATCCGTACGCTGCCGGCTTACCACTGCCTGTTTCATCGCCCTCCCCAGCCTCCCGCAGCCCCCCGCTGTTCCCCGCTGTTTCTCCGCTGTTCTCCGCTGTTACCCGTTCCCCGCTGCGCATCGCTGTGACCCGCACTTCCCCCCAGTCCCCCGCTGGTTCACCCCCGCGGAACATGACTGTGCGGAGCACGTGCGCCAACCAGCAACTGGCGGACGCTTTGGCGGACTCCTGGCCAATCCGGGCGGTGTCGGCGGAAGAAACTGCAGGCGCGGGCACAGGCGGCGGAAGCGCGGCTGCGGCCGCGGCAGGCGCAAGCAGTTGTGCGGAGTTGAGGACCCAGCGCGGGGAGGCGGAATCGACCAGCTCGGAGGCGTGGGCGGAAGGATCTGGCTCGTTGCGCGGGGGAACTGCGTCAGGACAAAGCCGCGGCGGGGGAGAGAAACGACCGGTGGCGCAAGCGTTTGCGGCATTGGCGGCGCCAGCAGCGGCGGATCCATCCGAACTTTACAGCGAGCATAACGCATTCGTTTCAGGACGACTCGTTAATAGCCAGCTGCACCCGTCTGGACTCGCCCTTTTAACGGATCAGTTAGCGTCAGGAGAAAGCAGCGAGGTTAATCCTGACCGTCGACTTGCGGATCTGGGAGAGTTTCCGTTGGGTGACGTGGAAGTGGCCGCGTCTTGCGGGCTGAAGAACACGTGGCAGAGCGGGAGCAAGCGGCGAGCTGCGCTGATGGATCTGACGAATGTGACTGTGCTTAATGGTGATGATAACGGGGGGGTACGCGCGGGCAGTTCGGGAGATAATAGCGGGGGAGAGAAGGCGGGACGGAGGGAGAGGATGAATGGAGAGGGAGGGAAATCAAGCGGGAAGAGCGTGCCGCGGGAAAGAAACGATATCGGGGAACGAAGAAGCGGGAAGGACGTAATAGGAGTAGGAGAAAGGGGACGAGGCGACGGCGGAAGCGGCGGCGGAGGCGGAGGAGGAGGCGGAAAAGGAGGAGGAGGCAAGGCATGGTGGGAAGATCCAAGAAGCTTCCCAGCCAAGAGAGCAAGGGTAGGTGGTGGGAGCGGGAATGGAGGGGTGGTGGTGATTTGCTTGCTGCGTGCCATTGTGGGAGGAGGGTGACTGCTTCATTGCCACAGTGTGGGCAACTCAGGGGTGTCAAGATGGAGTTGCGGAGACTGCTTCTGACACGTCTCAAAAGCAGCCGACTCAGCATAGAGTCGCTTTAGAGACGTCTCAGAATCGAAACTGCCAAATGCACCCTTTGGCTCTGCGTGCGTACGCTACTAAGGGTACAGTCTCCTCCTTCTCTTCCGCCTGTCCCCCTCCAACCCCCACCCCCCTCTCCCCCCACCCTTCCGCCCCTTTCCTCCCCCCACCACCCCCCGGTTGTCTGCGCAGGTCGTCTCCCCCTCGCCCCCCGCACTGCGCGGGCCACCACAGGATCCAGCTGATCCAGCTGCGCAGAATGCAGCATCTGATGCCGCCCGTCCCGCAGAAGAATCAGGCGCAGCAGCGGGAGCAGCAGGAGCAGCAGGAGCAGCAGGGGCAGAAGGGTCGTCCCCCCGCCATGTCTATGTGTTTGGACGAAGCATCGCCACTCTCCCCTCCTCTCGCCCCTCTCGCCCCTCTCGCCCCGCACCCGCCCCCTCCCCCTTCCCCGCGCCCCTCCCGCGCACGCTCCCCCCTCCCCTCCCCCCTTGCGCGTCTGCATCGCTATACCCGCCTGCACTCCCCTCTGCGCCTACCGCCTTGCCTCCTGCTGTGCCCACCGCCGCTGCTCCTTCTGCAGCCACTGCGGCTGTAGGAACAGCAGGAGCAGCAGGGATAGCTGCTGCAGCAGATGGAGCGGGAGCAGCGGGAGTGGGGCTGTGGCAGTGGCGGGAGCAGTGCTTCCTGCTGGCGGCAGAGGAGGAGGCGGAAAGGATAGAGCCCCCTCGAAGCCCTCTCACTGTACATGCTGACCCGCGGGTGGGGGTGGGGGTGGAGAGGGGGATAGGGATGGGGATGGGGTTGGGGCGCGGGGAAAGTCAGTGTGTTAGTGGTGGGAGTGGGGATGAAAGTGGGGAGGGGGTTGGGTGCGGGGATGGGGGTGGAAGGGGGTTGGGAGGGTTTGAAGGGAGTGAAGGTGGAGGGGTTGGTGGTGCTGGTGTGGATTCGTGGAGAGAGGGGGGATGTGCGAGGGAGAGTGAGTGTGCGAGAGAGAGTGAGGGCGGGAGAGAGAGTGAGGGAGGGAGAGACAATGAGGGTGGGAGAGAAAGTGAGTGCAGGAGAAGGAGCAAGTGTGTGAGAGAGGATGAGTGTGGAAGAGTGAGAGAAGGAGAAGGAGGGAGAGAACACCGGGAGGAGGGGGGGTGTGCGAAGCTTGAACCATTTCGCGAGGAAGAGCAGTTGGTGCTGCTGCAGAGACCATCCATGGGCCCCGAGAAGGGCGCGTGTTTTGAGGCGCCTCAGAAGGGCGCGTGTGAGTGGGGCAACGCCACAAGAGAAGAGAAGAGAAATTCAAACGGTGCGTCACGGGGGGGCGCTTCAAGAGGAGGAGAAGACAGCCGAGGGGAAGAATATTCAAAGTCACCTCGACCTGTTTCCGCACAGCACAGGATGGAAGGCAGTGCGCAGGAGGAGCGTGTTGCGGAGGAGGGAGGGGACGAGGAGGAGGGGAAAGAGGGAACGAAGGAGGAGGAGGAGAAGGAGGAGGAAGGCGCGGGTGGTGAGGAGGGTGTGGTGCGTGAGGAGCGTGAGGAGCAGTGGTTGCAGTCGCTGGAACGCAGGACAGCTCATTGCTCCCTGCGTGCACGTGCCCCTGCCCCTGCTCCTGCTATTGCCCCTGGTCCTGCCTCTGGTCCTGCCTCTGCGTCTGCTTTTGCCACCACAGAGCATCAGCCCCACGTGCCACCGCCGCCCATTATAGACATAGACACCCACCACAGCGACCCGCAATTCTGCACGCCTTATGCTGCTGACATCCACGCCTACCTCCGCATTGCCGAGGTGAGGCGCGGTGCAGAGCGGTGCAGCGCGGTGAGGTGAGGTGAGGTGTGAGCCGATGCGAGGCGCAACGAGCCGCCATGTTCAGCTCGTTCGGTGTGTTGTCTCAGTATGTTCTAGGTCCGTGTTCTAGGATTATGTATTTTGAGACGTCTCAAATCACTAGTTCAAACAAACACGTGGCTATGTTCTAGGATCCTATGATGATGTATGCTCGGTTGCCTCCACTCCTCCAACTCCCTCCTCTTCGTCCGCCCACCATCCCCCCTCCTCTGTCCGCTCACCCTCTCCTTCCCCCCCCCCCGTCTTCCCCTCACCCACACCGTTTCTTCATTTTCCCCATCCCTCATCCCTTTTTTCCCCCACTTCCCGTCCGCATCCCGTCCCCATCGCCCATCGCCCATCGCCCATCCCTCCACTCCACCCGCTGCAGCGGCAGCAGCGGCCCACAATGGCGCTGGAGGAGGGGCGGGGGGGCGACATAAGCGCGGCGATGCGGGGCATTCTGATGGACTGGCTGGTGGAGGTGGCGGAGGAGTACAAGCTGGTGCCCGACACGCTCTTCCTCACCGCCGCCTACATCGACCGCTTCCTCTCCCACGCCACCGTCACCCGCAACCACCTGCAGCTCCTCGGCATCGCCTCCATGCTCATCGCCTCGTAAGGATAGCCCTTCTCTTCCCGCCCATGCTCATCGCCTCTCCCCTTTCCTCATCGCCTCGTAAGCACTGCCCGCTCCCCCCGCCCATGCTCATCGCCTCGTGAGAATCACTGCCCTCTCTGCCTCTCTCTCTTCTCCTCGGCATCGCCGCCATGCTCATGGCCTCGTATGGCCCTCATCTCCCCTTCCCTCATCTCTTTGTAAGCAATGCCCTCCTCTTCCCCGGCTATCCTCAGCGCCGTGTGAGCCCCGCCTCCCTTCGCTCACCCCATCGCCTCGTACGCTCTGCTCTTCCTCCTCCCCTTCCCCGTTCGCCTCGTAAGGGCTGCTCCGCCTGTCCCCCGTCCTTCTTTCCCCCAACTCCCTCATTCCCTCATACGTTCTGCCATCTTCCCTGTTGTTGCAGGCATGTTTTAAGTGTTTTTTTCCAAAGATTTCTCACGGCCCCCTCAAAGGGCGCCTTCCTCACGTCCCAATCACGTGTTCCCCTCTTCTCTGCTCGCGCCCCTCCCCAATCCCCCTTTTTCCCCTGACCGCGTACCCCGTTTCCCGCTCCTCCCATTCCTAACTCCTTTCCTCGCCGCCCCTCCCATTCCTCACGTCCCCCTCTCTCTCCCCTCCTGCGCACACCCCCCACCCCCCCTCTCCCCCCTGGCAGCAAGTACGAGGAGATATACGCACCGCAGGTGGACGAGTTCTGCTACATCACGGACAACACGTACCGCCGCCACGAGGTGCTGCTCATGGAGCGCCACGTGCCTTTTGCGAGTGCCCACGTCTCAAAACCGGCTCGTACAGTCGGTTTTTTAGTCGACTCGAAATTAGACTCATCACGTGCCACGTCTCACAAATGGCTCATACAGTGCCACGTGCTTACTGCGCCTCCAGTGGGGATACAGCGAGGGGCGAGGGGAGAGACGGGTGGGCAGAGGGGGGAGGATTGGCATGAGTGGCCGCTTCACCTGGCTGCACGGATCCAATGCTTCTTAAGTCGGTCGTATTGAAGTTCTTAGGATCAGCCAATGCCTTTCAATGCGTCTCAATGATCATTTCCAGAATTCTGTGTACTGGGTCTGACTTTTGCGAGTCTCAAAAGTGTTGTAATTCCCAACGATGACTCTCACAAGTGAATCTCCCCCACCATTTTCCGCCTTCCCTCCCCCGTTCCCTCCTCTCCCCTCACCGCCCTCTCGCTCTCCCGCATCTCCCCACTCCCAGGTGATCGACATGGAGTGGCGGGTGCTGTTACAGCTGAACTTTGTCCTTGCCACGCCCACCACCAAGAGCTTTCTCAGGTCAGACAGCCTCGCTATCTTGATAAACCTTTCTCCAATTCGGATGGGAACTTCTTATTCTATGCTTCTCTCGTTTGTGGTACATACAAGGGGGCTCTGTTCTTGAGGTCGCATGGCGCCTCAACATGAGCTTTCACATGTCAGATGGAGAATGGTGGGGTGCGCGGAGAGGGGCTGAGAGTGGAAGGAGATGGGCGGTGGACAGAACAGGAGGGGGGTTGAGCAGCAATGTCGTTCCCTCCTACCAATCCTACCAATCCTACCAAGCCACTCTCATCTGAATCCGCATCCCATATCGCATCCCATATCCTATGTCTCCATATCCCATAATCGCAGGAGGTTCATACGAGCAGCACAAGTGACTCTACAGGTACGCTTGCTTACTACTCCGTCTCCCTTTCTTTCTCCCCCCCTACCATTCTCCTGTCCCCTTTCTATTTGTCCAATTCACTCCACAAGCTCACTCCTGGACCTGGTACTTCTTCACATTAATCGTAACTTCTTAGCTCACACCTGTTCGTACCTCTCAACGCTCAGAGTTCTCCTTTCACCCTGCACCTCCGTTCTCCTCCACTCCTTCCACTTCCACCCCCTCCCACCCCCCCCCCCCCCCCCCCCCCCCCTTTTCTCATCCTCCTCTCATCCTTTCGCTCCAGTCTGCCGTCTCCCTGCCACTCCACTCCACCCATGCAGGCCCCATCACTGCATCTGGAGTTTCTGGGAAACTTCTTGGCGGAGCTCACACTACTGGACAGCGCGTGTGTGGGCTTTCTCCCCTCACAAGTGGCCGCTGCAGCTGTCTTCCTTGCCAAGCTCACGCTCTTCCCCTCGCTACCACCCTGGGTATTGCTCCTCACACCCTACGCCTCACTCCTCCTCACCCCTGACCCTGCATACACACTCCCTTGTTACCCCTGCTCTTAGTCCACACGCCTAGGCTAGACCACGGAATGTGTTCCTCACGCATTCAGCACTGCACACATTTCAGAAGCTGCTGGTGGGACAACTCGGGTGCGAGGCAGCTTTTGAGGCGCCTCAAAACTCACAGCCTCTCTCCTTCCTCCCCTGTCCCCCCTTCTGACTACCAGACGCCAACCCTGCAGCACTACACGGGGTACAACGCGTGCGAGTTGGAGCCGGCAGTGCGTGTGCTGCATGCACTGCACGTCGCCGTGCCGTCCACCACTTTGCCGGCCATTCGAGCCAAATACAGCCAAACCCAGGTGCGTGCGTGCGTGCGTGGTGCTGTGCTGCTGGTGCTGCTGGTAGCGGTGGCGTTGACAGTGGTGGTGGTGACGGTGGTTCTGCTTCTCTGCACAGAAGGACAACAAAGGTTGTGGTTCTGTTGCTTCTGTTGCTTCTTTGTGAGTTGTGAATGTGTTAGCGTGTTGCTGTTCATTCCCCCTTCCACATACTTGTCGCCCCGCTCTCCACTCTTCCTCGTTCTTTCCACTTCTCTCCTCTCTCACACACTCACCCTTCTTCCTCCTCCCACCCTTTTCTTCCACGTCCCTTTTTCCCCCTTCCCTCTCCCCCACTCCCCCCCAAGCAGTTTCAGTGCGTTGCCTCCATTCCTCCAGTATCCCCCGCTGTCCTCACAGCTGCCTTCTCACCACCTGCTGCCACCACCTGAATCCTCCTCGCAACCCCCCTCCTTGCACCCCCCTCATCGCACCTCCCTCATTGCACCCCCTTCGTCACCTGCTGCCATCTCCAGCTTGCGACAATGTTACCTGTTCACCACCTGGCTCCTCCCACACCCATCTCCTTCTCCTCACCTGCTGCTGCCCTTTCCGTTCACTCTGCCTGCTGCCACCAACTGCTTTCCAGTCGAGCGAAAAGGAGGAAGGTGATGGGGTAATAGGGGGGTTGGAAGGGAGGGGTGGAAGGGGAGGGGGTCGTAAGATGAAGGGGAGAGCTAGTGGGGTGGGTTGCTAGGGCTGTGGATGGGAGGTTGTGCTTTGGAAAATCACCAGGTTGGATGGTTTGAGGTGGGAAGGGGGACCTGGGTTTTGCACCTATTGAGGATGGTAATGAGACGTGTGTCTGGTGCAAGCGAAGTAGGTTCAACGCACGCACGCACTCGCGCATGCACGCACACGCACGCACACGTATGCACACGCACACGCACGTGCGCACATGGTACACATGTGCAGATACCCAGCATGCATGTTCATGCATATACACCTGCACGTACCGTACGTACCTTCCTTCCCACGTACTAGTAGTACACATGTGGAGATCGCAACTTTTCCAAGCTTTTGCAGAGGTTGGCGCTATGGAGGGAGGCCCACATATTCTCATACGGGTAGGAATGTGCAATGTGCAGCAGTGCCAGAGGAAGCGATGGCTATGTGGAGCTCGCTTGAAGTGCTCCGAGTGTTGCGATAGAAGCACGTGACATGATTATGTCGTTCCACATGCTCCTGTAGCTACTGCTCGAGAAGAATAAAGGATGTTTGATTGTAGTGTCAAACCATTGTGTTGATTTGCAGATTGGATTGAAGGCAGCTTGTTATGTAGCGTAGTGGTTGCTGCAGATTAGAGTACCTGCATGCTGGTACGGCATCCCTAGATATAATAGGTCTTTAATAGCTAGTTAGGGGTTTTGACCAGAGGGATATGCACCAAAAATAAGTTGACTGTTTTAGCAAGACAAACTGTGCAACGCAGCTCCTGAGTATCGATGGAACAGTATACCGAACTCAAGGCATTGTTCAGTTCGTTGTGAGGGCATTACTGTAAAATATTTGATTACATTCTCTAGATCCTTTCTGCACTTCTTTGAATTCGGTTATGGATGCAGCTCGTGCACGAGTATCAGTCTAAGTTTCCTGATTGTTGGAGGGGCCTGAATAGAAAGTGGAAGGTTTTCTGTTGGGTATGAGGACCGCTGCTGCCGGCATCGAAGTGCATAAGTGTAATTTACAACGCTGAATTACAGGCCGACCTGCTGGACCCGGTAACATGAATACCCTATCCCACCCGGAGTTTATAGAAATTAAAAGCATGATGTACCTACAAGTATAACATTTTGCCGGAACAAGTGAGTAAATCGCCCACCGATCTGACACATGTCCACGGCGATTCGGAAAGAGCTGCTGTTGTGCTTCTCGAGAAAGTTCGGCACGAAATGCCAATGTGGACTTCATCTAGGTGGCAACGTTTGGCTCAACGTGCACGCTGCAGCGTAATTACTGTAATTCTGACTCTTCCGCGATTGACTTGAACAGTTTTATTTTTGGGCGCATGTTTTTTTGGGGGGGGAAGGGGGGGAGAGGGGGGGGGGGGGGGGGGGGACTAAATACACTACAAAATGCATAACATCCACAGGCGTAACTGGCCGATTTGAAACATGCACTGCCCTTGAGCACTGCCTTTTTTTTTACTAATGTACACCCTAACATTAGCGTTTCCTCCAAGTGATACCAGTGAGAAGGTATTCTTGCTATGAAGAGTCACCTTAATGGTAGACTGCAACTAGATGACAATAACGATGACGGGAATTACGTAGAGATATAACGCAATATAAATGTCATTTTTGTTATGCATGAAACAATACCTCAATACATTATAAGCAGCTGCAAAAAGTATTAGGCTATACAGATTATGCACGAATAAGGTCCAAAGTGCACTGCTCTGTCAGAGCGGGATTCAGAATTAGCTACACCTTAATGTCCTTTTCTCTCCCAAGTGTTTTCCTTTCGGTTTTGTGTATGTCAAGCACTGAACTTTCACAGGGAAATTGGGCTTCTAAACGTTAGTGAGGTTACCAATTTGTCGGAAGGTGAGTTTGTTTGGCCTGCCCGTGTTGTCTCTTCTCACGAGAGCTTCAAACAGTGTTTGTCGTAATCGAGCTTCTGGTGTCCTTGTGCAACGATCAGCAATGATCGCGCAACAGTGCAGCTACAACGCGCTGTATATCCGCTTGTAACTCGCGTGCATGGACTCGTAAATTCATGCGCGAGGGCGTGTATAGTTGAATTATAATTAGTCGGTTGTGCACTGGAGTGAGCATCAAGTGTATGGCTGTGCGCTTTGATTGCGCACACAATTCACTGTAGGGAATACAGTGTGTTGGTCGACCAACGAGGAGGAGAGCATTGGTTGGGAGCTCCCCAAAGACAGCCTTTTTTGTTTTTTTGGAGGGCGCAGGTGAATTCAGGGATCTTTGCACCAGCATTTGTAATATATAAGCGAGGTCTTCCATACTTCATTCGTTTCTCAATTCAAAGCGTCCTCGCAGCACCTTATGTCGAGAGATTGAGAAAAGAAAGCTGCAACAGCTTTTAGCCAAGCCCTTGCACACTATTCATCTGGCCCGGGGCTTTTGTGAAACGATTTGGGCGGATGTATTCGCGGTCATGTCTGTTCTCGGGTGCTGCTGTGCCTCTTTCGTTGCCCGTGCCAATGCAGTTGTGTCTGTGAACTGAGCGCTGCTCCCTCTCGTGAGCTGTCCGACGGGTTTGTCGTTATGCTTGTCCTAGCTGGCTGAGAGGCGTCCCACCCACTGCTGTTCTGTACACCCTCATTCTCACCTTTCTCACCGTTGGAAGCACTGGCTACAGTGTTTGGACGTAGCGGGCTGGTGCGATAACTCGGTGCGGGCAAAGTCGCACGACGTGACGAACAAGCCTCGGCCCACCCTAAACCGTTTTCCCTGAATAACTGTCTTAACCGTTCAAAATATATCAGTACCATTATAGAACGTATTCAAACTTGACTAAACGCCTTTTGTCAAATTGTCACTATAACGTATGTGATAGGACCTTCTTTGGTCCGGTGCGGCTACACTAAGCGTCTCGGTAAGTATAACATATGCCAGTCTATCGAGAATGAGGGTGTAGTACTGAAAGGTTATTGGGTTCAGGCTGGATGGCGATTCATGACACCACCACCAGCCAACACAACAAGCTCCATTTCGTGTGAACACTGTACAGTAGGTGTCATCGTCGTCTCTCCCAGCGGCTGACTAGGGACTGTTCTGTACATGTTGATGGGCTCGCTGCGAAACGGGCAGGTTGACGAGGGACGGGACGGGATGCCATCTCGAACCCAAATGAGTGCGAAGGGACACGGCATGATGAAATGTTTTGGGTGGGTGAGGTCAGCCAGGTGGATCGAGCCAGTGTGAGCGTGGGCCACTCAAAGCCCAACACAGTGGGAAAGGGCGGTGACCTTCGGCGGGCATCAGTGACAGAAACACCGGTCACGCGGACTCCCCCAAACAGTCCATCCTACAGCTCATCATGCCGCGTGGGCGGGAGACTCAGGGGAGCGGTGGTGACGATGGCGCCAGCCAGACATCGACATCCATCAGACCAGACCTGAACCCCCGCAGGGGGGGGCCCGCAACCGAACCGAACCCCAGCCCAGTCGACTGTTTGGGCGGGGAAGCCATCTGCTGCTGCTGACCTCCCCCGCCCTCCTCCTCCCCGACCGACGTGCTTTCCCCCAGCGGCCCAGCCCGTCTTCGTGTGTGCCTTCTCCCGTCCAGCACAAGCTCGTGCATTGCTGCTCTCGTCCAGGCATCCAATGTTCGCGTGCTTCCTTGCTGGCTTGGCGGTGGAAATCTTGCTGCCCTAGAGAGTCGGGCGGGGGAGTCAGGAAGTGAGGGAGCCAGAGAGTCGGGGGAAGTCAGACTCAGGGGAGTGAGTCAGGCAGTTCGGGCGGAACTCAGGGGTCGAACCTTGTACTCGTCACACCTGCTGCACTTGCAAGTCTAGGGTTCCGTCCGCGTCACTCCACATGTGTCTAAGTCATGACGGAGAGATGGCCACTGGGCCTGTCTCTGCGGTAGTGGTCAAGCGATAGCCATTAAGAACATATTGCCATCGCCGTGCCGCTGGAGTGCTGCAGTATCAACGGTTTCTTAGTGCGGAAACGTGTGGAAATATACTAAGGTGGCCGCTGGGGGCATGCGGGACTCGGTTTAGGAGAACCATGTTGTAGTTGTTAGATCTAGCATCGAGGATCCACTTATTTGTAGCTTCTTCTAGCATTGACTCTAGGGCATTCGATAGTAGTCCATCATGCATGCTACGCCTGGTAGCAGTGCTAATGGGAAAAGGGCGAGACAGGAAGTTGGGTATAATCTCAGCGGCAACAACAAGGATATAATGTACGAATCCCTCACCAATCATCTCATTAGTACCTCTCTGAGGATCTCGTTAGATCCTGCCATTCCCGCTTCCTATCTCTCGTTACGCTTTAGCGATTCGACTGACGCAAGCGCCGTTGAGATGCGTCGATGAGATCTCGAGGTTCTTCCGCCGTTCCATCTTCTCACCTCGCAAACGCATCATCCGCAGAAGCGTGATGCGTTTCCACATATGGTTCCCTACTCGTTCTCTCATACGTGCCTCATTATCCGACCGTTCCGTCCTGCCACTGACCATTCGTCCTCTCCTTCCTATGTGTCGCCTTTTCGACTGTTCCGTGTTCACTTCGTGCATTCAATCTGTCCAACTAACGTGTTACCTCGCGAGGCGTGTGTTTTTTTCCCGCGTCAACTTGTCATTCTATCTCATTTCCCTTCTCTCAGCCTTTCGTCTCCCTCTGGCGCGCGTCTCCCCTTCCTCTCCACAATATTTCCCTCCCCTTCTCTCCCCCCCCTCTGTTCTCACGCTGCGTCTTCCCTCCATCCGTCTCCGATGTCCCTCCCTTCTACTCCCTCTTCTCCTTTCTGTCTCTACCCCGGCCCCCTCGTCTGCTTATCCGGTCGTAGTCTATATGGCGTCCCCAGTCCTTCATCCGTCATTCTAGTTTCTATCTGAAACCCCCGCAGGCCGCCGCCCGCGCATCACCGGCGGAGCTATCCAGCCGCCGCGCCGAAAGAGGAGCTGCCTGCGCGCTTTCCCGCCGTAGCCCCGGCTCCGCGGAAAGGGGCAACGCCGTCGCTCCCGTCGTCATCGGCCGGCATGTCTGCGCCTATGAAGGGGCCATTTGCAGAAAGCTTCGCTGCCGCTGCCGCTGCCGCTGCCTCCGCGCATCCCGCCGCCTCCGCCAGCGCCGGTTTTGCGGCGAAAAAGGGAGGCGGAGCTTGCGCGAGCGGCGCTGGCGCAGCCACTGTGGGCGGAAGGGCGGACGGGATTTCCGCGGGCGGAGCGGAGCGCGGAGGCGCGCATGCTGTGGCGCAACCGTCCGCGAATTTCCACGCGTACAAGGCGGAATTCCAAGGCACCGCTTTGCGCGTCTACGTGCCTAAAGACCTGGGTAAGGGCCAAAGTGTGCTTCAAACTATTCCATCCTTCTCCGCGGTCCATCCTTCCGCTCGCCCTTCCACCTTTCCGTCTACCCGTTCTTCCTTCCGCCGTCGGCGCAGCTCGGGCAGCCACTTGCGCCTACGCGGCTTCCGCGCACTTTCCGCGCCTCCCGTCAATCTTCCTCTGGCCTTCCGCCGGTTCCACCGTCCCACCCCCGCGCCCTCTCTTTCGTCCCGCGCCTTCGCCGTTCCGCCCCCTCGTGTGTTACGCGCAGGCGGAAGGTGCATCCGCGAGTGCTTGCGCTTCCAGTTGGGCGGAGATAACGGCATCGGCAAGGCGCTGGAACTCGGCAACAGGTGCGCCTTGCGCGGGGGCGGGGTCAGAGAAACTGGAGTTGGGGAAATGGGGGAAGAGAAGGCGAGGAAGTGGGGGAAGAGGGGAGAAAGTGGGGGGGGCGGGGGAGCGACTGGCGGCTGCAGCGGGTTTTGCGACGTTAATACGATCATAGTGTTCCGTCGTTGGCTGTAACATGGAAACGTCAACTAAAACTCCTCGCCCCGCTCTCCCCTCCGGCCCTCCCTCCCTTCTCTACCACCCTCCCCTCTCCCTCCCTTCCTTTCTCCCTGCCTTCCTCTTCCCCTCCTCTTTCTTCCTGCCTCCCTCCTCCCTTTCTCCCTCCCCATTCGCCCCGCTCCCGCCCTCCGCTCCCGCCCTCCGCTCTCGCCCTCCGCTCTCGCCCTCCGCTCCCGTCCCCGCGCGCGCGCAGCCGGTCGTCGTTCAAGGGGAGTCGCGACAAGATCAAGGAGGGCAAGAATCTGATGTCGGTGATATCGCTGCGCGAGGCGCTGGGCTTTCTGGACCGCACAACCAAGGACCGCGCGCGCGCGCAGCACATGAAGCGCTTCATCCACGACGTCGTCGTCCCCAAACTGGTGCGCGCGCGCGGAAGGGTAGTCGCGCGGAGGCGCGCGGGGGGAGGTGCGGGAGGGAGGGGGGAAGCGGGAGAGAGAGGGTGCGGGTTGGGGATTCGAGGGGTGGCTATGGTTGGGGAGGAACGCGGAGAGAGAGGGGGAAAATGGGACGGGCAAGAGGAATGGGGGACTGGTAGGGGATGAAGCGGAGAGCTAATATGAGCTTGTTGTGGTGCGGCTCGTCTGCTGAGCGCACGCACAGCATGCGCGCCGAATGCGCCATCCGCGATAAGCGCGCTATCCGCGCCCAATGCGCCATGCGCGCGGCGCTGTGCGCCATACGTGGATGTTTCCCCCACTGCTCAGCGCCTCGACCTGACACATACACGTGCGCTTTCTCCCTGCCCATGGTTATTCTACCCGCCACTCTTCCCTTCCCCCCCCCCCTCATGCCCCCTCTCCCTCGCGTTCCTCTCCCCCTCCCTCACCGCGTCTTACTTTTCTTCCCCTCTTCCCGCTGCCTCTCCCTCCCGTTCCCCCTCCCCCTTCCCCCGACCAGGAGCGCGGGGAGCTCCCCCCGTGGGGTGGCGGAGCCCAGCGCGCGCCCGACCACCCGGGGCTGGACGAGTTCATCCGCAAGCTCATCCTCGCTACAGAGAAGCTCGAGTCTTGCTTGCAGCACAAGGAGGTGGCGGGGTACCTGGCGGAGCTGAAGCGCGCCGTGCGCGCCAAGGGCGAGCGGGACGTGCGCGTGGTGCTCGTTGGGGGGGCGGGCGCGGGGAAGAGTCACCTGGGGAACCGGTGAGTGCTGGGGAGCGCGGCGAGAGGGAAGAGAGGGAAAGAGGGGGAGGGGGAAGGGAGGGGAAAGGGGGGGCGGATGCGGTGATTGCGAGAGTGTGGGGGGTATGGCTATCGGAGGGAGGGGAGAGGCCGTGTGGGGTGGATGCGGCTGTATATGTGCCTGTGTGTGTGCCTATAGGCGTGCAGGCATGTTTGTGGGCTTGCGTGCTGTTGGTGCGTTCCCATCCCATTCAATCTTACCTACCTACCTCTCTCGCAGTCGGCAGCAGCATCGAATCCTACCTACCTAGCCGTTTGTCACATCCTTTTCCCCCATCCTTGATCTTCTCTGTCCTTCTGTTCGCTCTCATCCCTCTATCCGCCTTGTCCTCGTTATGAACAGACTCGTCTGCCCTGGTAGTGACGGAACTCGAGGGCCTTTCCCTCTTTCATCTGGCACGCCTGCCACCACCACCGCCATCATCCCTGCAGCAGCACGGGCAACTGCAGCACCCCTATTGGCAACGCAGCAGCAACAGCAGCAGCAGCAAGGGTTGGCGCCTGCTGCTGCTTTTGCCGCTGCTGCTGCAGCTGCTGGTGCTTCTACTGTCGCTGGTGCCGATGCCGCCGCTGTTGGCGGTGCTGCTGGTGCTGCTGCTGCAAGCAAGGAGGGAAAAGGGAACGAGGCGGGAGGCGGAAAGAAGAGAAGACATGGGAAAGGCGGAAAGGAAAGCAGGGAGGGGAAAGGAGGCGAGTCAGGTGGTAAGAAGAGATGGAGAGACGAGGCGGAAGGGGTTGAAGGGCAAGGAGGAGGGGGAGGGGCGGACGGAGAGAAGCAGCATCAGCAGCGGCGGCGGCGGAGGCAGCAGCAACAGGAACAGGATAAGGAAGGTTCGCCTGGTGTTGCTGCTGGTGTTGCACGGTACACTGACGGAGGTTCAGGGGAGAAACGGAAGGCTGAGGAGCGGCACAAGGGCAGGCGGGAGGGCGAGGACGGGGGTAGCAGCAAGACGCGCAAGGACAGAGACAGAGACAGGGACAAAGACAGGGACAGGGATCGAGAGAGAGACAGTAAAGGGAAGTGGAAGGGGAAGGGGAAAGGCAAGGGCCCGTTTGCGGTGGGGGGCGGCGAGCAGAGCAGCAGGTGGCAGGAGTGGGTGCAAGCGCAGCAGGATAAGCAGGCACAAGTGTTGCTCAACATGCACCAATCTCCTGCAACCCCCACGCCTTCCGCCACTCCTCCTCTTCCTACACATTTTCATCCTGCTTCTGCTTCAACTGCTGCTGCTGCTGCTGCTGCCGCCAACAGTGCTCCAGCAGCAGCAGCACCCACTGCTACAGCGGCCTCGCCTCCGTTCCCCCACACGCCCTCCGCGTCCCCCGCGCCTGCGCCCGCCATCACCATTGCAGTGCGGCGCATGGAGCACGCGGATCCCAGTCACCTGCGCGCCACTCTCCTCTCCCGCTCCCCCGCCGCGTACGAGTCTCTTGTGGCGTCCCTGGTCGACTCTCTCGCCCTCTCTGACCCTGCTGCCGCCGCCGCTGCTGCTGCTCTTGGGAATACCGCCACCAGCACCGCCACCGGCGGCATCGCCACTGGAAGCACCAGCAGCACGAACGGCACTGCGGGCGCCACTCCGACTGCTGCCTCCTCCCGCGCGGCGCACCACCTCCGCGTGTACCTCCGCGAGTGCTTCGGCTGCGCGATGGTGGACGGCAGGATTCGTCTGGTAGCGCCGGAAGTGGTGAAGCTGCCCGAGGTGGTGATAGGGGGGGTGGTGGGGAAGGCGGAGGTGGAGGCGGCGGAGGGGGGGGTGTTTGGGCGCATGCAGATGCTGGCGGGGAGTGTTGCTGCGAGGCTCACAGAGGGGCAGCGCCTGGCTGTGGAGGCTCTGCTGCTGGAGTCGCCTGCTATTGGGTTGCCTGCTGGTTACACCCTCTTCGATGTGCGTTCTGCTGCTGCTGGTTGTGCTGCTGCTGCTGCTGCTGCTTGTATTTTCTGCGTGTGTTGCTCGTGTATATGTGCCTGCTGCTCTTGGTGCGCATGCCCCTATTCCCCTCATCCCTCGTCCTGCGCCCTCTTCCCCTGTACACCTCCCCCACCTTCCTCCCCGCTTTCCCCCCCCCCACCACCCAACCAGACGCCCGGCGCGCCCAGCGTATCCGCCTCGCCAGCCCTCCAGCAGCTGCTGCAGCGCGCGGACGTCATTGTGCCCTGCTCCGCGCGCCAGCCCCTCTCTGACCGCCTCATCCGCGCGCTGCTCTGGCCAGGGCTCTTCTTCCGCCCCCGCCCCCCGCTCTTCCTCATCCCGCTAGATTACTGCACCGTGGGCGCAGGGGGAAGCACGGGGGGAGGCGCGGGGGGAGGGGCAGGCTGTGGGGAAGGTTGGGATTGGGGCGGTGGGGGAGGGGATGCGTGCAGCGGCTGTGGGTGTGGGTGCGGTGCTGGTCCCAGAGAGAGCAGCAATGGAAAGGCATGGGGCAAAACGGCAGCATGGCCGGCAGGAATGAGTGGATCTTCCCCGTCCCTTGACTTACCCTTCTCTGCTGCCTTCGGTGCTCCTGCTAACGGCAGCACCGGGAGCGGCACAGGCGGCGGCAGTGGGTGCGGGAGCGGTGCTGGTGTTGGTGTTGGTGTTGGTGGTGGGAGTGGGAGTGGGAGTGGTGGTGGTGGGGTGAGTGCAGGGCCGCATGCGGACGAGCGGCGGGCGTATTTCCGCGCACGGTTTGCGAGTGTGGCGCGGTGTGGGGCGCTGGCACCGTGTGTGGACGTGCACCAGAGGGCGCAGCTCAGCGCTCACCTCGCCCACACGCTGCAAGTGCTGCCCCCCGGAGTTCTCTCCTTCCAGGTCAGTCAGTCTCACTGGTACACAGGCGCACTGGCACACAGGCACACGGACGGACGGCTACACAGACACACCGGCACATTGATTGTCACATCGACAGGCAGTTGAGTAGCCGCACAGACGCGAGCTGAGCTTTCCAGAAACTGGAAGAGTCGTGGGGTGAATGAAAGAATGCACGCACAAGGAACGATCGAGGAGTTTTAGGCCTACCTCTCTGCATATGCGTTCCTCTCTCTCCCTCCCTCCCTTAACGCCTTCCGCCCCTCCCCCGCCCCCCCGTTTCGTCTGCTCCTTACAGGAGCGCCCAGTGCTGCAGGGAGGGAGCAAAGGCTAGGCTTACGCTTTAGTATCCTGAAGTGCGTTTCTCCCTCTCTCTCCCTCCGCTTCCCCCCGTCGTCCTCTCCCCGTTTCGTCTGCTCCTCACAGGAGCACCCAGTGCTGCAGTCGCATGTGTTGCAGCATGACAATCAGATGCTGCTGTGGGCAGCCACTACCCTCGCCTTCACTCTCAATGGCCTCCTCACTCGCCACGGGCTGCTGCCTAACCCACACAGCAACGCCCACCACGGCAGCAACAGCAACAGTGGCGGCAAGAATAACAGCACCGGGAGCGGGAACGGCAGCGGGAGTAGCAATAGCAATGCCAGCGGCAGTAGCATCAAGAGGAGCAGCAGTAGTATTAACGTGAAGGATAGCACTGAGAGCAACAAGCTCGGTGGTAACGGCGCCAGATCAACCGACTTAACTATCGGCAGCAGCATGCCTCCTCTCTCTCCTCCTCCCCTCCTGCCTCCCACTGCGCCTCCTGCTTCATCCGTGCCTTCTCTACCCTCCCTTCCCTCCACGCCTTCCCCGTCGGAAACCTCTTCCGACCTCCCATGGAATCTGCTCCTCTCTGCCGCTGCTCACACTCTCTCCCATGCGCCACCGCACCATATACCACCGCATGGTACCGCACCGCACCATGCACCACCGGTGCATACTCCTACGCAGTCATCTTCGCTCCTGTCTGCTGCTCCTCCGGGAAAGTCCGAACCTCTCTTCTCATCCCCATCTTCTCACCAGCTCCTTCCGTTCTTCTTTCCCGGAAGCAGCAACACCAGCAACGGCGGCAGCACCAGCAGCAGCAGCAAGAGCATCGCCAACACCCCTCCCGCTGGTAGCAGCAGCGCCGCCGCATTCAGCAGTATCCCAGGCAGCTGCAGCAACGCCAACCGCACAGACGCTCTGAGCGCCACCTTTGCAGCGGAAGCCCACTGGGAGCACGTGCGGTTCAAGAGCGAGCAGTGCTTCCTCTCCGCCTTCCGGGAGGAGATCAACCAACAGCTGGACGCGTTGCGCTGCGAGGTGCAGGATTACTTGGAGACGTGCGCGTGGGCGAGCGATGGGAGTGAGCGGTGGTGGCGCCGCATGGCGTCGTTTGTGGTGGGAGCGATGAGGCAGTCGTTTGAGGGGCTGGGCGATGTGGCGTGTGCGCTCATGCTGGATGAGCAGGAGGCCGCCATTGCCATGCTCACGTCTTCTCTGCATGCGTGAGTTTGTTGTTGCCGAGTGGCTGCTGTTGTCTTGTGAGGCGCCTCAAAAGGCGTGTGCGCTCATGCTGGATGAGCAGGAGGTGGCCATTGCCATGCTCACGTCTTCTTTGCATGCGTGAGCTTGTTGTTGCCGAGTGGTGGTTGTCATTTGAGACGCCTCCGCTGGCATGCGCGCTGATGCACCCCCATGCAGACACACCCCGCGCCACAGACACCCCCCGCCTCCCATGCACACACCCGTGCCCTGCCACTGTTTGCTGTCCACGCTTCTGGTTTCCATCCCTTCTCTCCCGCTCTCTCTCCCCACTTCTCCCTCCCCTCGCCCTTCCCCCATCCGGCCCCTCTCTTCTTCCCGCATCGCTTGTTCTGGTTCCACAGTACCCATCAGAAGCAAAGCACCAACTCTTTCCATCCTCGGCACCCCCACTCAATGCCACCTCCCGCCCCGTGTGCTCCCTCCCTCCCGTTTCCGCCTCCCTCTTCCCCCCTGTTTCCTTCTTGTCCCCTCCCTCCCCTCTCCCAACCCCTATCTTCTTCCCCCTTCACTCCCCTCTCTTCCCTCCCATCTCCCTTGCAGCAGCATCCCATCGGCACCCCCATCACTACCACCCTCTCCGCAGGAGGGGCAGGAAGGGCAAGAGGAGCGGGGGCAACAGGGGCAGCAGGCGGAGCAAGGGGAGCAAGCGGAGCAGGGGGAGGAAGGGGACATGCTTCTGAGCACGGCGAGCAGCTTCGTGATAGCGTCTGAGACGGCGTTGGATAAGCTGTGGTCTGTCCACCGCTCCTTGGGCCTTGAAGCTGCCCTCCTCTCCCCGCCCCACCTCCCCTCCCCCCCGCACCTGCTCCGCCTGGGGGAGGGAAGGGTGACAGGGAGGGCGGGCGCAGGAGGGGGTGTGGTAGGGGGGCGTGGGAAGGGGAAGGGGGTGGATAAGGGGAAGGCGCGTGTGGAAGAGGAGGGGTTGACTGGGTGGGGAAGAGGCGCGGGGGAAGGGCTTGGGTGGAACGGCGCTGGGTCTGCCTGTGCTGGTGGTTTAGACTGGGTGGAGATGGTGGGAGCGAGTGCGGGTACAGAAGCAGCAGTAGCAGTTGCAGGAGCAGGAGGAGGAGGAGCAGGAGTGAAAGGAGAAGGGGAAAGAGAGATGGGCGCAGGAGTGGGAAGGATGGGTGGAATGGGAGGAGTGGGGTGGGCGGGGGACCTGGGGGCAGCAGAGGGAGTGTTGCACGGTATGGTTCGGCAGGAGTTGGAGCAGGCGTGGCGTCACCACATGGCTCGCTCCATAGGTCAGTCTCCCTCTCTCTCCCTCTCCCATGTCACATGTATGGATTGTGAGGGGAAGCAAGGGATTACTGGGAGACTGATGTGCGGGAGAAACATGGGGGACAGGGAGAGGGGGCGGGCCGTGGTGATGGTGAGAGGGGGCGGGCGGTGGTGATGGTGAGAGGGGGGGTGGGTACCTGGGGAGAGAAGGGAGGGGTTGGGAGATATTAAATTCTGCTTGACTCCCGAACTTCCTCTAGAGTTTTGAGCCTGCATAATCCGTTTACGTAACCTGTCCTCTCCCAACCCAACCCGTCTTCCCTCCCCCCTTGCACCCCTCCCATTCGCCCTCCAATTCACCCTCCCATTCCCACTACCCCTCTCACCTCCTCCCTCCCCCGCCCCCAATCTCCACTCCCTCTCCCCATACTCTTCCCCCACTTCCTTCCCTCCCATCGCCCACCCCCTGCAGACGCCACAGCAGCAGCGGACTTTGCTCAGGAGAGCACAGTGCGCCTCTTTGACGCGCCCGCCAGCGTTGCCATGCGTCTGCGCCACTGGGCGCACCACACCATGGCCCCCCACGCCCTCTCTCTCGCCCTGCACGTCCTGCACCCCCTCGCCTCCTCCTGCCTCTCAAGCTCGTTTGCCGCCTTGCCTAGCCCTGCTCCTGCTGCGGCTCCTGCAGCAGCTGCTGCTGCTGCTGCGGCTGCTGCTGCGGCTGCTTTGCCCTCTGCTGCAGCTGGTGCGGCTGGTGAGACTGCTGCTGGTAATGCCGACGCTGCTGCTGCCGCTGCCACACCTTTTCCATGGTTGAACAAAGGGCAAGCCACGAGTGCTGTTGGTCCCTTTGGGCTTGCACTTGCTTCTCACCCTCCTGCTGCACTTGTCCCCCCTGCTGCTCTAGACGCTGTATCAGCAGCAGCAGGAGCAGGGGGAGTAGTGGCGGCAGGGTTGGTAGCAGCAGCAGCAGATAGCTCTGGGAACCACCAGCTCCCGTTCTTTCCAGGCCTTACGAATGATGCAGCTCCTGCTTTGGCCGCGCCTGTGGGTATTAGCAGCGGCAGCGGCAGTGTTGGTGCTGCTGCTTTTGCTGCCGCTTCTGCTGCTGCTGCTGCGGCAGGCATGCGTGTGGGGCGAGTGGTAACAGGGGAGGAGGCGAGGGCGAGGAGGGGGGGCATGGAGGTGGCGAGAGCAGCAGCGGCAGTGAGAGAAGTGGCGCTAGGGCTGTTGGTACTCTCCAAGGATATACTAAACCCCACCCTCACCATCCCCTGCAGGTTCGTCTACATTCCCTGCTAGGAACTTTCTTGCAAAGCAAGAAGCTGCCGTCTGCCCCCTCTCCTGCTGCTTTAGCGCGCTGTCTCTCTTTGTCTCAAATTTTCAAAGCTCGTTCTGCTCCCTTCCTTCCCGTTCCGCCCATCCCATCCCGTTCCACTACCTGTTCCCCATCTCCCTACCCATCCTGCCGCTCACGTGCCTTTCCTCCCTCCCTCCCAATCCCTTCCCCCTCCCACCCCTCCCTCCAGACCCATACCATCTGTGCGCATGCTTCCACCTCCCCCAGTCCTGCCTGGCCGCCACCCCACATCGGATGCCATCACAATTAACTACACCACTCCACCCTCTGCTGGGTTGAACGGCCTAGCTGCCAGTTCAGGCGCTGCGATAAGCACCAGCAGTGCTGCAGCAGCCGCAGCAGCCACAGCAGTGGGAGGAGCAGGCCCAGGAGAAGCATCAGGCTTAGGCGCAGGCGCAGGCTCAGCAGCAGGCGCAGGCGCTCGTGTCGACAACGCTGCTTGCTCTGTCCGCGCCACTGCCGCCGCCACCGCCGCGGCCGCCGCAGCCGCTGCTGCTGCTGCCCGCGCCTCTCAAGGCCTGCCCCCCAGCCGTCTCCCAGACTCCGGTCCGCCGCTACTCCACCGAAAACTAAAACAAGTTCCTTTGCAAGTCCGACCAGGCCCGGAGATCATATGGGTGACTGATCTAACAGGCGGGCCGGGAGGCGAGCGGGATGTGAAGTCGCCGTACTCGTGGCTGGAGTTCACACGGAGTCCTGCGAGAGCAAGGGCGATACGCGTGGGGCAGTGGGCGGACATCTTCCTGAACCACTACGAGCATGTGTGCAAGCATGCCACGAACGTTGTTGAGCAGATCTGCCCTCCCATGTTCTTCATTTCCAAGGTGAGGAACGGCGCAGGGCGGGAGGGAGGGTTGGAGGGTTGGGGAAGGGAGGGATGGTTGGAAAGGGAGGGAGGGAGGGTTGGAGGGTTGGGTGGGATGGCTGGGAGTTCTGGGTTGGGGGGTTGTGGTTGCGGGGCATGCGTGCTGATGCGTTCTCCACCCCTTCCCCTCTGCTTTTCCTGCCCTGTTTTTCCTGAGCCGTGATATTCCTTTTGCAAGCTCTCCCGCTTTCCCTCCCTCCATGCACACCCACTCCCCCTCCTCCCTCTCAAACCATCTCAACCGTTTTTCATATTTCCTTTACGTGGCTGCAACCCCCCACCCTCATTCTTCTCCATCACCCGCCAGTATCCACTCTTTCACCAATCGAGTTTCAATGCCTCCCTTCGCTGCCTCATTCTCATCCCTCCATAACTCCCCATCCCATGCCGGCCCACTTTTTTGCATCACTCCCATCCCTCTCACTCCCCCCATCCCTCTCACTCTCCCCCTCGCCCTTTCCCCTCACCAGGACCCCTTCTCCCCCGCTGCTCTCCGCACCTACGATCTCCTCTCTGCCTCTTCCTCCTCCTCCGCCCCCTCCACCGCCGCCGCACCCTTCACTCGCACACCCCACCCGGGAGCCCCCGCAACAGCACCCACCTCCAGCAACGCTGCTGCCCGCCCTGCTTCCACTCCCGCTACTGCCGCTGCTATCGCTTCTACCCACAGCAACGCACCATCACCATCCCCATCCCCGTCACCGCCACCACTATCACCGCCATCACCAGCAGAGCCGTTCCTGTACTCGTTCCTGGTGGTGGAGCGGCGGCACATGCTGGAGGTGCCAGCACAGGTGGCTGCGCGCCTGCCCTGGCACATGTGGCCGGTGGTTGTGCCCGACCACTCGCACCCCGCTGAGCTCTGCGAGGCTGCCAAGCTTGTTGCAGAGTCCATGCTCGGCATGGGGCCCAAGTCGTACGTATTGCTCTTTCCTTTTCTAAGCATCCTTCCCTTCGTCTCTCATTCTTCGACTCGTTTTCTTCCTGTCCTTGACGCTCCTGCAAGTGGTTAACATCCAACTGACCCAATGCCCCTGCCCTAACCCTTACTACCTCCTTTACCTCTCCCCTCACCCCCACCCCTCCACCAACCCAGGTACGCGCTCATCCCCTCACACACACGCTTCTACGAATTCATCTCATCGCCCTCGGCTTCAACCACACCATCACCATCCCAGCAACAGCAACACCAACAACAACGACACTCCCAACACCCCCAACACCAGCAGCAGCAGGTGGAATCGGTCGCTCCAAGAGCTCTGCAGTTCGCCCAAGCAGTTCTAGCAGCAGAGCGAGCCGCCAGCCACCGCTCCCTGCAGCACCACATGGGGGCACGCGAGTTCAAGACAGGCCTCGTAGCACTAGCCATGGAGGACGCGCATGGGACCGTGGAGGGGCGCATGGCGTTTCATAGGTTTAATGTGGGGTATGATGCGGCGCTTGGGTCGATTGCACGAGGGGGGAGAGGAGGAGTAGGGGGAGGAGGAGGTGGGAGTGGTGGTGCTGTGTCGGCGGGAGCGCTGCAGATGAAGATAGAGGAGCTCTTTGACCCTCTTCTGCCTACTGTAAGCTCCCTCACTCTCTTGCTCTCTTCTCTTTCTCTCACTCTCAACTCTCAAACTTTCTCACTCTCTCTCCTTCGCTTCCCTTCGCCCTGTCGTCTTAGCGGGTGATTATTCTGTCCTCGTCCCTCGTTCCTCGATTCTGCCCTTGCACCACCCTTGTTGCATTCCTCTCTCCAACCTCTCACCACCAAAGCCCCATCGTAAAGCCCTCCAATTGGACACATCGCAAAGCGCCGTGGCACCTACCATTCCTTGCTCTCTCACCCCCACGCACACCCCATCTTCCCTTCCCTCCCCTCGCCTCTCCTCCCCTTCTCCCCATCAGGTGAAGGAGCGGCTAGAGGAGCTCCTGGAAGACGTGCACGCAGTAGCTGCCGTCTCTCTCTCCCACGGCGCCTACGCCCGCCAGCGCCACCTCCTCCTGCGCCTCCACGCAGCCAACTACGAGGCTGGGGGCCCGCCCTCCTCGCTCATCACGCTCAACGACATCGAGTCGCAGCGCCCCTTCTCCTACTGCGGGCCGAGCAGGGTTCTCGACGAGGTGCTAGTGCCGCACGCGTGCTCCGAGGAGGAGTTTTTGCAGCAGTGGAGAGCGGTGCAGAAGATTTTCTTCCTGCAGCTGCTGGAGTGCGGGAGGCGGGTGCTGTGGACGCCGCAGTTCCATGCTGTTGATGTCCCGCCTGGGTCCGTGCGGCCCAGTAAAGGGACGCGGCCAGGGGGGCAGTAGAGGGGCTCGCTGAAAGGGGGGCAGTAGCATAATTTTGAGGCGCCTCAGAAATAGACGCCAGGGTCCGTGCGGCCGAGTGAAGGGGCCCCGCCCAGAGGGGCAGTAGCGGTGAAGGCTGTACACCAGGGAACCCGGCCAGGAGGGCAGTAACAGCAATAGCGGCAGTATCCACACGCCAGGGGCCCCGCCCAGGGGGCAAGTAGCGGCCGAGGCCGTATAAAAAAGAGGGGGGGGGGGGGGGGGGAGGGAGTGCTGCTCACGGGGGCAGTTCCAGTTCCATGCTGTGGAGTGTGGGCATGACAGCAGGCAGGGTCCGTGCGGTGCAGCCGAGTACAGGTGCGTGTCCAGGCCCAGGGGGGCAGTACCGTAGCAGCGGAGATTATCTAAAATGGCGGCCGTGCCAGGGGGGCAGTTTTGATGCGCCACAAAACGCAGCTGAGGGGGCACTTGTGGGAATTCTGATCCGTGACTCAGGGTTTAGTGGCACAAGTAGCGGCGGCGGAGTGAAGAAGAAGGGGATGCTCGTGCTCGTGCTCGTGCTCGTGCTCGCCTTATGGCAGCTTCTTCAGGCCGCTTTTCTTTGAGCCGAGTGGAAATACGCTGGGGGGGTGCTTGTCCAGCCGTATGATGCAGCGGGGGGGTGCCTGTGCTCATTATTAGACTGCAGAGCTGGGGTGGGGAGGTGGGTGGGTGAGTGGGGTCCTTTACACCGGGGGCCGCGTGGGGTCCTCTACACCGCCGGGTGAGTGGGGTGGGACCCTCTACACCGCGGGGTGGGTGGGGCCCTCTACACTTGTGCAGTGAAAATGGGGAAGGGGAGACGGGGGAAGTGAGGGTGAAGTGGATAAAAGAGACCGTGTTTGTGGGAAACAATGGTTTTTTCCTCGTGTGTGCTGTACTGTATCAGCGGACAGTAACGCTTGCTTGCTTGCTTGCCACACGGGTCACATGAAAGTAGGCCCTTGTTGTGTGCTCCTTCTGTGGGTCTGATCTCTTTCCCTTTTCCTGTGGTGCATGTTGCTGTTTGTCGAAAACACGGGAACCTCGATGCTGAGAGCAGAATGCTGGTTTGTGACTAGCAGTCTTGGAAATTATTCTGTGCGTGCTGTGTAAGGTATCTTACTCCCATGATCCCATGCCTAATATGACGTTGTGAAAGTCTACTTAGGCTGACTTGCAAAGGCAGCGTTATCATTTCATATGGCTTGTAGTACACCGTTCTCGTCTTATATATGTCTACATAACAGCATGCACAAATGGGTGGGCGGGCGGGAAATTAGAACTACAATTTCAGAAATGAAAACGTGGGTGGGGACGAATGTCCCCACGTCCCTCTTTTGTAGGCAAAAGAGGGTGAGTAGCGCTTCGACGCTACCTTTGTTGTGTTGGCCACGTACCCCTTTTCACAATACAAAATTTTAGAAAGTGTTACATTTCATTACACTTTCAAAAATTATCATATTGTGAAAGTCTACTTAGGCTGACTTGCAAAGGCAGCGTTATCATTTCATATGGGTCTTCTGAGGCAAGTGCAGTCGGGGCTGGCGGTGTCGTTCGATTGATAGCTGATGCGTGGCGGGTGAGGGAGCCGTCGAAGGATCTTGCAACTGCGTGGAGAGGGAGATGAGCTGATCCTGCGCGATTGTCACGTACATCTCCTTCGCGCTGTCGCTGCGCCATCGGCCCATGCGTTTGAAGAGCCGGTCAGGAACTCCGAGGCTTGCCGCCGCGGTGGCTGCACCTTTGCGGAATGAGTGGGTTCCGATGTGCGCGACATCCAGTCCAGCCTGCCTGCCGGCCGCGAGGCACCAGTTTCTGATCGTGACGTAGGATGGCGATTTGTCTTTTGATGGGGCTTGCGAGTTCTTTGGGAAGACCCTTATCAGCAGTCCATGTGGCACCTTTGTGAGGCCTGCGATGCGTATGAATGTGCGTGTGCACCTCACCGAACAGTATGGGCCTGGAACTGCCGCCACTGGGATCCAGACACCCCTCCCTTCCTGGTCCGTCTTGGAGTGCGGGATGAGCAGCCACATTGCCTTCTCCTCGAACTGTACATCATTCCATTGGAGCGAGACGAGGTCGGAGTAGCGCAAGAATGCCGAAAACATGAGAAGAGGAATCAATCCTTTCTGGTATTCCGCAGGAATTGGTGATTCGAGGAAGGGACGGGCCATGTTGTGCACTTGATGGAGAGATATGGGCTCTTTGGTCCTTGCAGGCCGGGGACCATGTCTCTTGGCGAACTCCCGCACTTGCAGGGTGAATGGGCCGGCGGTGGGGGAGGTTTCGCCTGTCATGCGGTGGGCGAAGGCTACTGCCGAACATGTGAGGTTGATCGCAGAGAGAGTTGCTTTGTTGTTGAGCGCATGAATGAGATACAGCGCTAGCGTCAAGTCGGTTGCCGGTAGGAACTCGAGCCTAACTTGGGTACAGAAGGTGCGAAATCTCTGCCAATAAGGTTGGTACGTCTCGATTGTAGATGGTGCGCGAACGTGGCTAATTACGTGCATCAATTGTTGTTGTAGTTTGGCCAAAAGTCCTGAAATGACACATTGATAAATTTTTGATTAGACTGCATAGTTTACACGCAAAGCAATGATTGGGCTATGAGGCAATCCGAGACCAGAGAATGCAGCGGTGTGTGAACCTGCCCGAAGGCATTGACTGCCTTGGGCAAGGGAAAGGTGCTCTACTACTGCCGGAGCCCACGATTGAGTGGACGGTTGGAGAAGCGGCCACCATGACGCTCCGGTCCACTTGGGAACTACGAGCGTGAGTTCTGTCTGCGTGAGTTCCGCATGGCGGAGTGTAGCGGGAATTAAGTGTGGAGGCGGGAAGGCAAAGCATCGCTCGCCTTTCCACGAGATGGAAAATGCGTCGACAGCGAACGCGTCGGGGTGCGGTATCTTGGAGCAGAAGCGCTGGACGTGATTGTTCCGAACGTTAGCAAAGAGATCAATTGTGTGGGGCCCCCAGCGGCGTTCCAAGAGGCGAAACCAAGGTGCATGTAGGGAGTAGTCGTCGTAATCTTGCATCTTGGATAGGTCATCCGCATGGACGTTGAGCTCTCTCGGAATCCATTCGATCGCGAGGCGTGTTGTGTTGGCGAGGCAGAACTGGATGATCGCTTGGCATGTCAACGTAAGATCCGCCTGACGGGATCCCCCCTTGCGCAAGATGAACATGACTGCCTGATTGTGACACGACTTTCAGAGGAGTGTGCAGTGCAGTCGTCATAGTGCAGTGCAGTCGTCATAGCATTTCACATCTCAAGTATACAGCACACTCGATAATATGGAATACATATGGTGTTCTAAACGGGAACAAGATACGCACAAGCGATCCAGTGTATAAGGGAGAGGAGGGTGGGAACTAGAGAAGTGAAAACTGCAAATGAGACTAGGTGGTAGGTCCCGAGGACCTGCCGAAAGGTAAAGGAGAATGTCTCCTTTACAGCAAACCCCTCTTCAAGTCGAACCACAATCTGTAAATTTTTTTGTTACAAAAAATTTCTCATATTGTGACACGACTTTCAGAGGAGTGTGCAGTGCAGTCGTGATAGGTCGAACGAGACATCAGGGGAGAGGTCGGCGGCGACCCCTCTCGAATGTGGTCAAGTACCGATCGGTCGGGCTAGATCGGAGAGGGTCCTGTAGTACGCGAGAGGCATCGACAAGCTCGCGATCGAGTTGTGTAATATATAGCTCCTTAGCCCTATCACTACGCCACCGACCAAGGGCTTTGAAGAGTCTGTCCGGCACTCCGACGTCGACAGCTACAGTTGCCGCCGATTTACGGAAGGAATGAGTGCCGAGGAGATCCGGGTTAAGGCCGACGCGGGCAAAGCCATCGCGGCACCAGCCCCGCACGGTAGCATACGAAGGGGAACGGTCGGAAGGGGAAGCCCCGGCACCCGGTTGGAACACGCGGATAAGAGGGCCGGTAGAATCTTGAGAGTAGCCCGCGAGGAAAAGAAACTGTTGGACACGAGAGACAGGGCAGTGGCGGGCAGAGGATGCTGCCACTGGGACCCAAGCACCTCTGCCGGCTTGGTCCGTCTTGGAGCGAGGAATAAATAGCCACATGCAGTCCCTGTCAAACTCGATCTGATGCCACTGGAGGGAAATCAGGTCAGAGAAGCGTAAGAAGGCCGAAAACATGAGAAGAGGGATCAGCCCCCGCTGGAATGTGGCCGGATCAGCCCCCAGATATCGTAGATTTTTTCTGGGGGTACAGGCTCTTTAGCCTTAGATGGTCGTCCGCAATGACGTTGTGCATACTCTTTCACTTGGCTAGAGAGTGGCCCGCGAACAGGAGACGGTTCGCCAACGAGCCAATGGGCGCACAAAATGGCGGAACATGTCGAACGGATAGCCGAAATAGGGGCGCCATTGCGGATCGAGTGCAGTAGGAATAACGCCGCGGTCAAATCACTTGAAGGAAGTAAAGGAAGAGCGTGCATGGTACAAAACGCGCGATATTGCCGCCAATATGGCTTGTACGTGCGAATTGTAGACTGAGCACGGAGATCGACGGTGAGCGTCAAGAGGTCCAAGAGCAGGGGGGCGAGCTGGTGACCTGCGTAACGAAAAGCATTAATTATTAGTGAATATTATTCGAAGGGCGTACATAGGAGAGTTAGGAAGTCCAGCCCCACTAAGTGCCCAAGGATCACTTCCAACACACAAACAGTCGGAACCAGAGGCAAGACTAAGGGTTGCGGTGATATCACTAGCCCAACGGTCTGGGTGTAGAAGAGGCCACCAAAAGGCACTAGGCCAGCGAGGGATCACTAGGGTGAGGGAGGTTCTTGAGCGGCGAGCGTGGGCGAGAACGGCGGGAATAAGGGGTGGTGGTGGAAACGCGTAACAATTTTCCCCCAACCAACTAATTGAAAACGCATCCTACGCGAGGGCCGCTCGCGAAAACTCCAGGGAGCAATAACGAGCCGGCTGTGCATTGGTGGGTGAGGCGAACAAGTCAATGGAATGAGGCCC